TGAGTAAGGATATTGTTGATGTGTTGTGAGATTGTTAACCATTGTCATAGGGCAACATGTGTAGTAACTGTTAAATGAGAAACTATTTTGTTCTGTAAGCATTCATCTTAAGTGAGATTAGCAGCAGAAGTGGAAGAGCGTAGTCAATGTCACTGAACTGTGCATGTAGAAATTTTTGAAATGGTGTCTTTGGCTATGTGTATTTTCACCAAAAAAAAGGTTAAGAAGTTAGAGGGTTGACATGTTGTGGGGTTTTTAACCAATGTCATAAAACAATATGTGTACTACTGTTTCATGAGAAACTTATTTGTTCTGTAAGCCTTCACCTGAAGTACAATAAAAAAAATGTTTCCAATTATTATTTCTCTGTAACTGAATGTATGAATGTATGTATGTAACATATCCGCCTTGGGCTCAGTCATTGAGCCATTCATTTCTCAGGTGACTTCACATCTACTAAGTTCATTATAAAGTACACTTCCGTATCATTTTTAATGGCTACATAGTATTCCATTATATAGATGTACTATTTTTATTTAACCAAGCTCCTGCTATTGGACATTTATTTTATTTTCACTGTTTTGCTATCATGACCAATGCTAAAATGTAAGAAGCCTGGGGAGAGGAATTGGAGCCTGCCTCGGCAAGATGGCATGGTCCATCTTCTCCTGGCTGCTGGCCTTGCCAGGCTCTGGAGCAGCCTTTCTCCATTGGGAAGCCGCCGAATAGCAAACCTGATTGGCTCAAAGCTACCCTTGGGCACCACGTCTTCCTGTAGGTCTATCTCATCAAGCAACATAATGAAGATGTTTTAGAGTATTAAAGAAGAAATGGGTTAGAATAATCTATTGAAATATTAATATAGTATGCTCCATACAGGAAGCCCTGGTGGTGGTGCAGTGGCTAACCACTGGGCTGCAGTTCCAACCCACTAGGGCTCTGCGGGAGGCAGTCTGCTTCCCCTAAAGATTACAGCCTTGGAAACCCTATGGGCCGTTCTACTCTTTCCTAAAGGGTCGCTATGAGTTGGAATGACTGGATGGCAACGAGTTATGCTCCATATAGTGATTACAGCAGTTCCTCTGGATTCACCAATCTTTTGATTATAAATGAGAGAGAAAAAGTTATATGTGAGTACATATCATCAGCATTTGTGTGTTGCATCATTAAATGAAAAAATATTCTAGAAAAAAAAAGAACACTGTATAAACATCATGGGGCATGTGTCCAATTTTTAACTTTTGATAATCAATCCCATTTTATTGCTTTGCTTTTACCTTAACGACATTCCAGAAATTTGCTCAGGTAAATTTCATAGTGTGAAGTAGCTCTGAGCTGTCTGAAGACTACTGGCCATTTTTAGCTTTAAAGCATTTCCTGATGGTTTCGAAAACAAGGGCTTTTTAAATAGTCAAGAAAATCATATTTTGCATAATCATTCAGGATAACATTATTGCAGAAAGATAGGAAGGCAGGTGTTTTAACTTAGAGTCTACCTGGCCTCCAATCTCACCCCCAAACTCCCCTCCCCAATTTCCTTCTGGGTGCTGTAAATTCATTGTTAACATATATTTAAGTTTTAATCACAGCAATACCTGCATATAGTTTTAAACACTCAAAGTAGTACAAAAGGGCATATAATTAAAAGCAATAAATTCTTGCCCATCCTTAATTCCCAGTTCCCCAACCCAGAGGCAAAAACTTTTCCCTGTCTATGTAGTGGTTACCTCCGTTTTTCCTAATAATATGCTTTTATTACTATTTCTTGACTTGATGACTTGAGGCATTTTCTGCTGACTTACCTACTATCTCCTCTGCTCTCTTCCCCCCTCAATATGGTTGCATCACTATTTTTACCTCTTCTGTTGGCTACTTTATTCACTTTTAATAATCTAATACCTAAACCTCTGTCTTTTTTTTTCTCCACTGTAGACAATATATTGACTTTCTACTTAATGAGGATAATAGCACCACTTTTCCATTTACATTTCCTCCCCTCTGCCTTCCAACCTGTTGACTGTACCTGGACATTGTCAAGGTTGGTAACATTCCCATTCTATTCTGTAACTATAAGTCTTCCCTGCTTTGTCTAGAGATTGACTCTAAAAACCATAATCAAGATTTACTTTATTATGATTATTTTGAATAGCAAAGTTGAATTCTATGATTGGATTTTTTTATCTATGACTTGAGTCTTGATCCACATGGCAGTGTTCAACAGATTCCCTTTCTCACACTCCCAGCAACTTTTTAAAACCAGGCCACATTTGAGGTTGCTTCATATTTGAAGCATGCTTTTCTTGTACAGTTTGAAATGTTTGTTTTTCCCTGTAGTTTCTGTTTGTTATCGTTTTTCCTTTGGGCTGAAGAAATGGATGCCTTACACATCATGTTATTAAATTTCCTCCAGCATCTTACTCAATCCATCTATTGCTTAGAATCCATTCCATTCCGTTTGAAGTGTACTCACTTTCTATTCTAATTTGGAAGATTTGCCTCCCATTTGAGCCATTCTTGTACAGTTTACCTTTCCTTAAGTTTTTACTTGCCTTTCTTTCCTTTTTAAAAAATGCATCCTGTGCCCTTTGTCATTTCCTAAAGTTCGTGCTGCTTTTGTCTTTTTACGGATGCAATAACTTCTTAAACATTTCTGAGGATTTTCAGATTTTTAAGTTCTTTTCTGTTCTGTGAATTATCTATTTCCTTGGGAGTCAAGTTTTCGTTTTATCTGAGGCTTTTTCGGTCACATTGCATGCTTTCCGCAAAGGATGCTTTTTAGCCACCCATTTAGACTGGCGTGCGCGAGTGGGGCTGGTCGCTTTGCTCTCGGATGGGTGAGCTAGGGGGTGAAAGTCAGCCATCCTACCAGGGGATCCCCAAATTCCACAGAGTTAGCAGTGGCTCTAAATATGTACCTGCAGGCGCACGTTGAGAATCACGGAGGCCACGAGGTAGAAGTAGGGGAAGTTCATGCGCAGTCGCCAGGCCAGGTCGAAGAAGGCGAGCAGCGTGCGAGTTAGCCGCTTGCAAAAGGCGCCATAGGAGCCGCGGTTCGCGACCGAGCGCGACAGCCGCACTGCCAGGGCCGCCGCTGACGCCGCCATAAGTCTAGAGTCGTCTCCCACACAGTGCCCAGACTCCAGGGTAGCCAGCAGATCCGCGGACCCACCGACCAATGAACAGAGTAACGGACGAGCAGGGTGTACCGGCGGGAGGCCAACTGGGCGGCCGCCAATCCGGAGTGCGCTGACCGCGGATGCCCATCAGGGCGGGGCGGGGCCTAGAGGCCGGGACGGATCTTGGAGGGGCGGGGCCTGGAGGTCAGAATGGAGCCTGCAAGGGCGGGGCGGGGCGGGGCCTGGAGGGGCGGGGCGGGGCGGGGTCTGGAGAGGAGGGGGTTCCTGACCAAGGCGGTCCTTTTGTTTTGTTTTGTTTTTTAACCAGAGCGAAACAAAACTTCCTCTGTTAGAATCTCAATCTGTATGCTGAGCATATAATCCAAGAAATCGGACTATATGAAGAAGAATTTGGATCAGGATTGGAGGAAGACTCATTAGCAGCCTGCGATATGCAGATAACCCAACCTTGCTTGCTGAAAGCCAAGAGGACTTGAACTACTTACTGATGAAGATCAAAGACCACAGCCTTCAGTATGGATTACGCTTCAACATAAAACTGAATATAAAATTGGAACCAACTGGAAGGCATCTAACAACAACAAATGTTAGAAAATCTACTTCATAAGCATAGTCTTGAACAATTTAGAAGCATGAATCTATTTCTTGTTGCCTCAGATACCTTTAGGAAGCTTTTCAGCCCTCAACTCTGAGCTAGTACAAATGGACCAAACCCACTTATCTTCTGAAGTTTAAAATGTGTGCATTCCCTTCTAATGGCTCAAGCAACTTTTTTTAGTTTGTTTCATATCTTTAATATTCTTTTAATTGAAAAAATTATACAAGCACGTTTTTTGAAATTTTCAACAGTACAAAAACAGAAAACAATGGAAAGTAAATTTCCTACGTAGCTTCACATTCCCCACCCCGCCATGAACTACTATTGCGTTTACTGTATATATTGCTATATTGAAGTTACCATGTCGATAACACACACCTACCTGACTCTCTCTGGCAACTGAACATTACACATACATGCTGGCTACTGTTAACGAGTCCTCTACTGATGAACAGTCTGAATGTTTCCAGCTTTTCTATGCCAATAATTGTTGCAGTGAACGTCACTGTGAACATTAATTTGCAAGTAGCAGAAGAGTATGAACAATATGATCCCATTTTTATCTATAAAAACAAACAATTACATATGCATAAATATTTAGAGTTCGAGGTCAAAATGTTTTAGTAATACGTGTGCTTGATCAAAAATGTTTAGAGACCAGGCCTCTATACAACACTGAGTGTTACCAATTGTAAGGACACATACAAACTGAAAATTCTCCCTGTTAAAAATAAGAGAAGAGGCTCTCCTCTACCCCTGTTCTTTTAGAATTAGCTTTAAATAACTTGTCATTGTAAATTCCTTCTTTGTCTCTTTGTAAAGTATGTAAATCAAGGATGTTTCCTCAAGGACCTGAGCCATCACTTTCAAATGTAATCAAGGAAGATCACACCCCTACCTTCCAGTTGCCTAGAAGGAAATTAGCATAACTTCAGATTGTTGTTGTTATATGCCATAATCGGCTTCAACTCTTAAACCACTAAGCCCAAACCCATTGCCAGGGAGTTGAGTCTGATTCATAACGACCCTATAGGACAGAGTAGAACTGCCCCATAGGGTTTCCAAGGCTGTAATCTTACAGAAGCAGACTGCCACATCTTTCTCCAGAAGAGTGGCTGGTGGGTTTGAACTGCTGACCTTTCGGTTAGCAGCTGAGTGCTTAACCACTGCACCACTAGGGCTCCTATAACTTCAGGTATCCTGCCATAAAGATACTAGAAAATTAGCAATTTGATCTTAAACATGAAAGTATGGGTTGTATCCACTTAGCTATACAAAGTGTCAGCTACCTTCCTGTCTTTGCAGTCTCTAGGAAATTGCCTGTGATGCATCACATTCTACTTTAATGCTTATTCAATAATGAAACGTTTCTTTCTCTTCTATTTTTGCAGAGAGGTTTTCTGCGTTGGGAGTAGATTTTGTTTTTAGTAACTGTCTTAGTCATCTGGTACCACTCTAACAGAAATACCACAAGTGGATGATTTTAACAAAGAGAAGTGTATTTCCTCACAGTAAAGTAGGCTAAAAGTGCAAATTCAGGGTGTCAGCTCCAGGGGAAGTCTTTCTCTCTCTGTCGACCTTCTCATCAATGTTCCCCCGGACTAGGAGCTTCTCCGTGCAAGGACCCCAGGTCCAAAGGACACGCTCTGCTCCTGGCACTGCTTTCTTGGTGGTATGAGGTCCCCAACTCTCTGCTTGCTTCCCTTTCCTTTTATCTCGAGAGATAAAAGGTGGTGCAGGCCACACCCCAGGGGAACTCCCTTTACATTGAATCAGGGATGTGACCCGGGTAAGGGTGGTGTTACAATCCCACCCTAATCCTCTTTAACATAAAATTACAATCACAAAATGGAGGCCAACCACACAATTCTGGGAATCATGGCCCAGCCACATTGATACACACTTTTTGGGGGACATAATTCAATCCATGACAGTAACTTTTCCCTAACACAATCTTAAATTATTTTCTTGCCAACATGATAGGCAATGATTATGTCTCATTCTTCTATTTTACATTTATTTAATTATCAGTGCAGTTGAGCAACTTCCTCAAGGTTCCTAATTTTTCAACATAGTTTTTCCAATTGCTTGTATATTTCAACATTATAAACATATCTTAGAGAAAAGTAAAATCCTTAGGATCACAACCCCCAACAAGAAAGACCATTAACAGATTGGTATATGTTTTTGTCAGTTATTTGCATGTATTAACAAGCACTGACATATATACATATATATTTGGGGGGCAGTGACAGTGTGGAAGAGAAGGGGTCGGCCACCAATAACCTACTATCTCCTCTTCCCACCTCACCTCCTCCACCCTACCAGCCTCACCCCCACCCCCATGTCTCCATACCACTTTTCTCATTTTTATATTAAAAATTTTGCCTCAGGCTGACTGAACAGCACAAGCAATCTAGAACTGATGAAATCTCAAACATAGGATCTGTAGGAGAAACAGTAGACAAAAAGGACACATTAAGCAAAGGAAATGCATCCTTCTCTCACACCCACCACACCGAATATAAATAGTAGTAATAGGATCATTGGTTTTTGTCTTTGGGAAGTTATACAAATCTTCTTCCTGCTCTTCTTTCTCACAATAGAGTGATATAACTTGATTTCTCTGTCTGAACCACCCCACTCAAAATATATATGGGGTAATATATATATAAGGAGCCCTGGTGGCACAATTGTTAAATGCTCGGCTTGGCTTCTAACCAAAAAGTTGGCAATTTGAACCCACCCAGTGGCTCCGAGGGAGAAAGACCTGGCAATCTGCTCCCATAGAGATTATAGCCTAGGAAACACTATGGGGCAATTCTTCTCTGTCACATGGGGTCACTATGAGTCGGAATTGACTCCACAGCACTCAATAACAACAATTATATGTATATATATATGTGTGTATATATATATGTATATATATGTATATATATATATATATATATATATATATATATATATATATATATATATATATATATATATATGAAACCCTGGTGGTGTAGTGGTTAAGTGCTATGGCTGCTAACCAAAAGGTCAGGAGTTTGAATCCACCAGGCACTCCTTGGAAACTCTATGGGGCAATTCTATTCTGTCCTATAGGGTCGCTATGAGTCCAACTCAATGGCAATGGGGTTTTATTTATGTGTATATATATATATAGAGAGAGAGAGGGAGAGAGAGAGAGAGAACTGCTATATAAAGAGCCCTGACCTTGGAAACCCTATGAGGCAGTTCTACTTTGTCCTATAGGGCCGCTATGAGTTGGAATTGGCTCAAAGGCAATGGGTTATTTTGTTTGTTTGTTTGGTATATTTGGTCAAGAGATAATAGATTAAAATGTAATGCCCTCACTCTCTCACCCATTGAAGGAGTTTATCTCCTGGAGAAAATGGACAACATTTCTCTAAAGAAATTGAGTGATGTGCCTGAGAGGGCTAGGGTTTTGGAGTGGGGAGATGGGAGTTGGTACCTGTGGTTGAGTCTAATGTTTCCATTTCCACAAATGTTCTGATAACATTTCCACAAATGTTTCACCTCCCAGAATCCACACGTTTGCAGCATGAACGTTGCAGATCCTCTCATCAAGAGGTGATCTAGTTCCTTGTCTCTTGAATCTGCCATGTGATTAGCTTTGGTCAATGGGACATTGCAAACATGGTGCAAGCAGAGGCTTGAAAACTGTTTGTGCATTGGGGCCTGCCCTCTTGCTAGTCTTGGAAACCCGCTGCCACCATGTGAACAAACCCAGGATAGCCTGCCAGATGAGAGTTAACAAAAGATGTGCCCTCAACAACGCACGTCTTCCAGGCTGCCAACTGCCATTTTCTGGAGTAGTGCTCCCTGGCAAAGCTGTCTTTCATGTTCACTATAGCTGTATCTCCGCTGTATGAAAACTCATGTGAGGAGATAGGGCGGAGAGGAAGGAAGAATGCTCGTGGTGCCTTTCCCGAGGCCCTGCCCTCCCTGAAACAGGTCTTGGAGCTCACATCCCACCAGAGACAGCCATGTCCATCTGGGCCTGCCAGGCGCTGTCTGCTCTGTCTTGTGGGCCCATGTCTGAGTCACACCCCATTGAAGTCTATTGTTGTCGTTAGGTGCCGTCGAGTTGGTTCCGACTCATAGTGACCCCATGCACGACAGAATGAACCGTTGCCTTGTCCTGAGCCATCTTCACAATTGTTGCTGTGTTTGAGCCCATTGTTGCAGCCACTGTGTCAGTCCATCTCATTGAGGGTCTTCCTCTTTTTCGCTCACCCTCTACTTTACCAAGCGTGATGTACTTCTCCAGGGACTGATCCCTCCTAATAACATGTCCAAAGTATGTGAGACAAGACAAAGTCTCAACACGAATAGAATAGCTACGTAGGCACAAATCTTC